TGGTCCAGTTTTCTCTTGTTTCTCTTCACGTTAATTTACTCATCTGCTCTTGTTACTGTTGCCCACAGAGAAGCAGCAGCACAGACCTGGTTTCAGGTATCTGAGAGAAAACTGGACCAGAAGTGACTCATTAGACTCCAAATGTTCTTGTTCGGATTATATCAACAACATGCCTACATTTGTGAGCTTGTAGTTCATTTTTCCTAAAGTTTAATGAGGCCCCAGCAAACAACAATAGACTTAAAACATCGGAGGAGTTTGAAAATGTGTTAATATACAAAATAAAGAGGAGTGGTCCCAGGATGGAACCCTGAGGAACTCCATATTTGAAAAAACAGTCATTTTACACTCACATTATGACCTCCCTAAACACAAACTCAAAATCAGTCGTACGAAAAACCTCAGTTAAGTTCAGGAAAATGTCAATGCAATGCAGGACTTCTGGAGCAGCACCAAGTGGACACTTGAGGAACTGCAGTTTAATGCTTCTCTGCATCAGATGTCCTTTCCTCCAAAAAGGCCAAAATAAACCGACAAATGTCTCTCAAATGTTGTTGTTTAACTTTTGCACCACTTTGTTCTGGTTGATCACCGTGTCTCTCCGTCTTTCTTCCCCCTGGTGTTGTGGTTGTGACTGATGTTTGGTTTTACTCACTTTACAGGTAAGTGCAGCTGCTAAACCCTAAATATATGTGTATTTTTAGAAATATACAGTATTTTTTTTTTCTAAATACTTTATATCGACTCTTTTCCTCGTGTTTTTACAGAAATACGTCATGGTCCCGTGTCTTTAGTTTTTGTTTTGCTCCTCCGGGCTGCCGTACTTTCTCTAGAATATTGTCCTCAACTCTTACTTCTTTTTTTACTTGTGAAACACACACACACACACACACACACACACACACACACACACACACACACACACACACACACACACACACACACACACACACACTCTCTCTCTCTCTCTTGTTAAAGGGTATCTTTGTGATGACACTGGTCAGTATCTCATGTGAAATCAACGTCGAGCTGAGTGAAGACTCAGGCATGCTATACTTTGAAGTTTTGTGCACACACGCACACACACACACAGATCATGCAAATAAATATATCTGACATATATGATAAAATGAGAACGTATCAATATCATTACATTTAAAAAAGACTTGTATGCAGGAGTGTTAGAGAGCGATTTTGAGACACACAAACACACATATTAGTTACAACAGTGATAGTCTGAGTGTGTGTGTGTGTGTGCGTGCATGTTTGTGCGTGTTCCTGTGAGTGAATCTTTAGTTCCTCATGTTACACTGAAGCCTTTTATCAGTGACCCAGAGAAAGAGAGGAGAGAGTATTGGGAGCATCGTCTTGGAAACAGGCATGAAAGATGACATGATGACAGAGGACTTTCTGTTTGTGTGCGTGTGTGCATGTGTGTGTGTGTGCGTGTGAAAGTGAGAGAGAAAACAAAGGGACATTCAGCCATTATCATGCATTTTAATAAGATTTTCTCTTTGACATGAACCGCGTTCAAACGACCAAACAGACAGATTACAGCTCAGCGTCTGCTCTGACGGAGTGTTTCACTTTCTGAATGAATCATTTTTATCATCTCCAGATTCATAAAGCTCAGTCCATGCTTTGTTTTTGTCTCATCTGGCCTTCAGTAATGACCTTTATATGGATATTAGTCAGGATTCCCCTCAGTGGATTTATCTGGTCGGAATTATCACAGATTCAAGAAACATAATCTTAAATCTCAAACTGCTGCCCTCTCATTTCTGTCAGATTAAAACTTCCTTTCAGACCGACTGAGTCATAGTCGGGTTAATGTGCTAACATCTGTTGCACGGGGCTTTGAGGAAGGGTTTGAAAAGTCACTTAATCTACCAACAAAGTCGCTAGTGGCTAATCTAGAAGTCGCTAGATGACGTCATCGACTGATTTGTATGATTTTTCAGTTAAACCCCCGACCGATCTTCCTAGGTGTGTCTGTAAGTGAGTGTGTGTTTATATTAAAGTCGTTAAATCTACCAACAAAGTCGCTAGGTTGGCAGCACTGCACACACAGACGCTGGAACAGAAATATCAATACTATTGTGCAAATCTGAGGAGACGATGGTTCGTTTCTTACTGACAAGTTTGGCACCTTCGCTGGTTTTAGAGTAAACCAGAGTGTAGTGTCATTTCAGTCAAGATCCTGGAGGTCTTTGCTGCTGCTCTGTCTGCCTCGGCCTTTTATGTATGACCATGAAACAAACAGAGATCGATAAAAACCAGAGCCACACTGCCAACTCTTAAAAACAGCATGTGATTATTTCTGACCAAAGTGGTTTTTACACTCAGAGAAGGAAAAAGTGATGAATACTCTCATGCAAGTCACTGTTACATGCCTATGTTTGGGAAAAAAATCTTCCTGCTTGGCTTTCAGTTCCCCACCGAGGATGTGATGGCAGGCATGTGTGGGCTCACACACACACACACACACACCCACACACACACGCAAACACTCAAATGTCAAAAACATACATTGAGTAAGAAAACTTTCAGCTGTTTCTCAACAGCTGACCACATGCAGCCTACACTCCTCACATGTAAACACAGCGTGAGTGTGTGTGCATGATTCTGCATCCTCATAATGAACCTAATATTCATTTAATGATACGTCTCGTCTCATCTGTGGTTTTAAAGCTTCAAATAAGACTTTTTAAAATATAATGTTTCTGTTTAGTTTTAACGCATCTGTCTAAAATGACCTGTGTGAATGTGTAAGTGTGTGACTGCTGCATGAATAAGTGCACAGTAAGGACGTCAGCAGTATATTTGGTTCTTTCCACCCCTATATATTAGTCAGACGGACCGGCCGAAAAGACAGAAGTACGGCTATGTTTATATGTCTTCTCCTTCTTCTGTGAGTGAGTGTGTGTTTGTATTCATTAGTCACACACCGACCAGTGTGAGTTGGGTAAGACTTGTCTGCAAACAGCTCATCGTAGAAACATTGAAGCGAAAAAGTCCGAATTTCTGTTGTGACCAGAAGTCCTGTGTCACCGACACCCAGAGCGAGCGACGGGAAAAGTACCAAGAGTTTAATGAAATGACTCACAGCTTAAGTGGAAGTCGAATGTTTTGTAAGTGCATGATCATTAAGAGAGACGTAACCAACACTTCATGTGAAACAAGACTTTCTAGATCGCTCGCATTCCAAGAACAAAAGCCGAGCGTGTTATTTTCAACGTTTTCTTTCTGTTTTACTTTGTTTTCTGCAGAATCTTTAAGAGCTGCACCTGGAATAAAGGGTAATTTACTGAGTTTAAAAGTGGGTAAAATTCAACAAGATAGTTGTGCTGATTTTAGTTCTGATACCCACCTTGAGAATATCTTGCAAGATTTGGAAGATGATTGAGGATGTCATAATTGAAATTCTTACATCATCTGATGCACTTTGGGAAAGTAACAAAAGATCGTCAATCTGGAGGCAATATGACTGTTGCCATGACGACAATGGCGAATTTACAGCTCAAGCTTGGATGGACATCAGAAATAAAGGACCAACTTATTAATAATGCAGAAATACTAAAACTGCAGTTCCTTTAGTGTCCACTAGAGGCTGGCTCCAAAAGTACTTCAAACCACATACACACCCATTCATAAACACTCGTCTTTAAAGCAAAAATGAAGAAGTTTGCAGCCTGGTACAAAAAAAATGATTTGGGGTCTAAAGAGCTTATTTTTAATTTGTTTTGAAGAAATTAAAGTTAAAAGTTTGGCTGATTTAAATGAAACTGTAGCTGTTAGTGCGCAAAAGGTCAACCATCTAAGGTCATGGGGGGGTCCACCATTACATTTTCTGTCTCCTCAGATGGTTTGGTTGGTTGTGAAAACTCTGGTGCAGACCAAACAAGTGAAACCTGGTCACCTTAGTCTTTTTTCCTCATCGTAGGTCACACACGAGTCAGGCTAAGTCAGCGTCGTCAGCAGAGCATCTGCCACCAATTGGCTTCAAAACTGCTTCAGAGGCAAACGGGTGACATCACTCATGCTAAGCTTGTGTTTATACAGACTGTGGTTCAGACACATCCTGTTACACATACCTGAACAACCCTCCCGCTCATCGCCGTATAGATGAGTATAAAGTCACAAGAAAAGATTTTGCAAGATTTCCACTTCAGAGAGTTTGACCTGGAGTAGCTGCTGAGCAGAATGGTGATTTGTTGATGTCCACGCACTGTAAGAATAAAACTGTTCCAGCTTGTAACTACATGGAGCCATCACTTGATTGACACCAAAACAATCGACAAACACATTAGCAAGAAGCAAACTAGTCATGTCTCGATACGTCTTTGTGCAGTTTTAGTCAGACTGAGGTGTTTGCATGTATTTTTTGAGTCCAGTTTTATTCGGGCTAACGTATTTAGTAAATTTTAATCAGCATATTAATTTACCGAATACGTCGAGGAAGTGGTCTAAGAAAATCTTAGGACAAAAACGGCTCTCTGGGCTTCTGTAGTTTTTCCAAATTGGTCTTAAAATAGTAAAAATCAAATCAAACTGCATAAATTCAAAGAAAAGTTGAAAATGTTCATGTTTGTTGAACTAGTTATGGTAATTGTTTAAGGGCAGTGTAGTGAACTTGGATGCAAACAGGAAATGAGGTCATCCTTTTGCAAGAAAGCGTCTGTTTAAATGAATGACGACCTACAGTACTGAGGAAGTTTGTGCTATTTTAAGAGAGACACATTAAAAATAAAACTACAGTTTAAGCTTTTTTAAGTCCAGATCTTTTTTAAGACCATTGAGCATTTCTTCCTAATATAGATATGAAAGAACAATCCTTTAAAAACAGAGGAAGAGAAACCAACGGGAGAGGGGAAAGTTTGAGTTTCTGTTGTGAATAAAGAAAAGAGTTTATTCCCACACTGCAACAGTCTTAGTACAGAAGTGTTTTTCATTGACTCTGAGTTTTGTTTATGATCCTATGAAGTGTTTAAATCTCTTCCCCTCAGAGAACTTAAACTGTCATCGATGGGTTCGCTTACGCAGAAGCTCCGCTGACTAACAGATTCACATGATGAGTAAAGTAATTTCTTAACGGATGAGAACATGATCTAAGAGGTGATACAACTTTTACATACTTTTCTTTTTAAGTGTTTCAAACTGAGCAAAAAGAGAATTTTTAAGGAGCACCATGAGTCTGCAGAATTTATGAGCTAACTTGTGAAACTACGGGGACAAGATGACATATCAGCTGTGGGAATTTGGGTTATTTACTTGAAAGTTTAAGAGACTCAAATCACTGCAAGTTGCACAATTTTCACTGACTGTTCTAACCGCTGTAGTTCTGTTTTTATTTAACACTGTGCTGCATCAGTGCGCCTTTTTATAGTGTCTCTTTTTCTAATAGAGACTTAAGGATTATAATAAAGGTGATCTATTAACTCTATTTCTACGGGATAAGGTTTAAAATAAAGGCAATACAGACAGCCAGAGACGGCCCAAGCCTCAGTGAGGCCCTAAGCAAAATGTGATTTTAGGTCCCTCTATTTCTGCCAATAATATTGATTGTTGATCGTTCACACAACTTCACAAATCTCTTTGATTAACATTCATGACGTGCAAACAGACCTTTATCTTGGTGTTTTTTCTCTTATTCTAAGCAGGCGCTTAGTTTGCTTGTCCCTTGGGCCGACTCTGCAGACAGCAGTCCAACAAAAACAGTCATGACTCTGCAGTGGAAGTCCCCACGTCCACATCTGTGAAGGCTCCATTAATGCTGAACTATATCTCATCCCTATGAAGCATCCCTAAACCTCAATCTGACAACTAAGAGAAGAGTCCTGGACTGATGTGGTCCTGATTTGTCTCTATATCAGGTAAGAACGAGAAAATCAAAACCTTCTAAGTCTCTTTAATTGACTTAAACGACATCAAAACTAATTTTATCCAAACTTAGAATTGACTTTAGCTCTGAGACTTAAAAAAAATCAAGAAGGAATTACAGGAAAGAAGTTTGAGTTTCTGTCTTTCACACCTCCTCATGCTTTACTGGACACACCGACCACAACAGATGGCACACACACACACACACACACACACACACACACACACACACACACACACACACACACACACACACACACACACACACACACACACCATGTACCCTTCAGAACAGCTTTAGAGCCTCACTGCCGTCATCCATTAGTCCATCTGACCGGACTAATCAGCTCTGTTAACACTCATTAAACACTCGAACTAAAGTCCCGATGCTGCTTATCATGTGTGTTTGTGTTTGTGTGTGTTTGTGTGTCCATGAACCGCCCTTACAAAAACATCGCCACAACAAACTGTGATGTTTTTGACACCTAACACCATATTCATCACCTCGTTCCGGTTTTATGTCTCTGCGGTGCAGAAAATTGCGGGGGCAGAAGAGGAAGTGAGATTATTGGGGGTAAAAAACTGAGCTGTGACGCTGGAGCTCATAAAGTCGATAAAAATAGACGCAGCTCGTAAAAAATTAAACTTTGAAGTTCAATTTTATGGTTTGCAGTTTTTAGTTAGAGCTGCAGATGGAGGGTTTCTATACTAACAGGGAACAGAGTTTGGGCCGGTGCGGCTCAGGAGGTGAAGTTCTTGACCCAAATATTCACACCCACACGTCGACGTGTGTCTTAAAGCTGAGGAGTCAGTGTTTTCTAAACCTCAGGACTGGGACTCGTGCTCTTTAGTCACTCTTTTTTATCAGGCCGTGTAATCCTGGAATAAATGGAGCATGAGAAATATATACGTACATGTAAACCCTCAAAACACTCGAGTGAAACCACGTGAACTTTTAACGGCATCATTAGAGCTGCTGATGAAAAACGACACATTAGTCAGCAAGATAAGATTGTCATTAGAAGATATCTGCCAACAGGGGGCGCCAACATTGACACAAACCAGAGGAGTTTTGAAGGATTTAATCAGTTTATTCTCACATTAGATTAAAATGACCATGTGAGAAAATACAGATTAATCAGAAAGTAGCACGTTTCTTGATAATTTAGCTTTTAATTTAATGATTTTTTTAATGATGTAAAAGCCGTTATTTAAATCTACCTTTTGAGCACATACTGCCACAAATGAACAGCTAAGAAACAGAGAAACACTTCATAATAAGGTTCCTGTTATCCACATTAATTCACTCTTACATTAAATCGGAGTTAATAAATGTGTCATTGAATGTTAAAAGCTGCACTGGTTTTAATTTTGCTACAATCTAATTATAAATATGTTCCATAATCTTTAGTTAACTCTTTTAAAGTCTAATTAATGTACATTAACATCCTATTGTTGTGCAAACTGTTAACACGTTTACAGTGAGAGCCTATCAGTGAGTTACAAACATTAATAAATGTGTTAATTAAGCCTCTTATCGGTGGTTAATGAACTCTTAATCAATGATATAAAGTGTTTCCAGAAGGGGTCGTTAAAAAGTCTGATCTGCATGAATCACAGCTTTCTGTGCCGGAGTGCCCCATGGCGTACAGGCGGTGCCTTTTTGTATTTTCTCGCCCCTCGAATAGCCTGAATGCACCTCTGCTCTATGTGAGGTCAAACTGAGACTCTTGAGTTTGGACCGGGTTCTGGGGTTCTGTTGTCCTGAATGTTGATGCAGCTCATATTGAGAGGCTATAGTCCCCTTTAGCATCGGTTAGAGGATCCAGTCCTGATCTTAGCCTGGTTCTTTTCATGCTTGCTGTATTTCTAAAACTAAAAGACAAAGCCTGAAAATCTGTAAAAAACAGACGGTCAACTTTTCCTCATTTATGTTTACTTTAGTTCTCTTATTGCAAAGTTTTAATCTCTCAGTTTAACTCTCCAATCATGTCACTAAAGTGAGCGAAACGTCAAGTTTGACCAACAAGAAATGAAAAACTAACGGATAATTCACTCAGATGTGTGTCAGAGCAAAAATCACAGAAACAGTTTTTCTGCTGATTAATCCTGACTTTTCTTTAACTGTTTACCAGCGTTGGCCTGTAAAGATGCTCGCTCAGATTCAGCACTCAGACCACACACACACATAACACATACATAACACACACAAACAAACACACACAAACACACACACACTCACACAGCAATCTGACTTCCTCTGTTCAGACCGCTGCCTCTCTCTGTGCTTCCTGTGTGTCTGACACAACGAGCGAAAACATTCACTTTCAACACACTTTCACTTCGTCTTCCTGCAGCCTCTCGTGTGCTGAACAAGCGTATGAAAGACAGAGAGAGAGAGTGAGAGAGAGAGAGAGAGAGAGAGAGAGAGAGAGAGGATATGAGAAAGAAGGAATAAAGAGAAGAGAGTGATCAAACCTGAAGTGATAAAAAAGTGAACTGCATTCCACTGTGAAGATTGATATTTTTTGAATGACAGAGAACAGATGTTAGATTTTTTTAAGTTGCTGATGTTTTAATGTTTATTCTTGTCTAAGTTTGTGTTTCTATGATTCATAGTTTTATTAGAACTTTTTATTTGCTTGGTTTTATGCGTTTTGTCTCAGAGAGCTTTTATCATTTTTACGGCATGTTTTATTTAGATTGTTAATTTTGATTTGAAACTGTTTAATGCAATACTTCATTTCCTGTCGGGGCTTGTTTGCACTTGTAGCGCACCTGTGAATTTCTACCTTTTGAACCAACATGAAAAGACCCTGTGGTAGATAAGGCTGAAGAGGTGGGAAGAGGAGTATGGTCGATTGATGACTGCAACTCCTTACTGGCAGGCCTCCCTGCGTGCACATTTAGATCCCTGCAGATGATCCAGGATGCAGCAGCGTATCTGGTCTACAACCAATGCAAAACATCTCATATCACTCTGCTGTTCAACTGCTATACAACGATAGCATCTCTGCAAAATGAAACTGTAGCATCGTAAACTCAGAGTTTATTATCTCACAGAGCCATCGGTGGAGCTTGATGTTAAACTAGACTACGTTACTTTCTTCACTTTGCAGAACAGTGAACCTCACATTGTACGTTGTTGAATTCTTAGTCCAGAAGGTTTGTTTCTGTGTTTTGAGGATGTCCAAAGAAGACGCACCAAACTGATGCTGGAGAAACGACAAACAAACAGATTTTCATTTTTTTTCTTTTAACAGTATCTGCAGGTTGGTTCTTGGATCTGAAAGCATGTTTGTCTTGAAAGTTTTGTTTGGGACTCTTAGAGACTTTGTTTGTTGGATTGGGTGGACAATGGGAGGAGTTGGTGGAGAACGATGTTCGGGTTTGATCGTGGGTTACCTATAGCTTCTGTATATAAGGCACACAGTTTAACTGCAGAGGTAAACCTGAACCCCTGACTGCTCGTTTAGCGTGACCTCAATCTAAGGGTCTACGTGAGGAGTTTACTCAGAGCTGCGCAGGAGAACAACAGCGACATGTGAGGGTGGGTGGGTGGGTGGCGGGACCTCACAGCCAGAGCAAAATGACAGTGTGGAGAATATACAGACTGAAAACTATACATACAAAGAGCAAACATACATGGAGCATTGAGTCACTGCGAATGGTAAACAGTCAGAGGAACACCACACGGTTTACCATGATGAGATCCACGTGACAGAAAAGTGGCTGAGGAAGAGGAAACAAACACAACAAGTAGAGGAAAGCAGACGGTGATACAACAACACTTTAGATTAGGATGTCAGGAAGTTTAAATCCAAGATGATTTCCTATTTTTGTTCCAGTGTGCACGCTTTATTCTGCAGCTTTAAATCTTTGAAATTAGCTCTGTCATATTTGGGCCTTTCATGGACATCTGTCAGACAACTCAGGTGAATGCTTTACACCGTTTCATGCAGCAGAACATCACCTGTGTTTGGCATCTCCAACCTCATCATGCATCGCAGAAACCGTGGAGTGGTGAGACATTATCTTGCAGCCACAGCCTTCCAGAGAATTCCTCAAATGCAAAAGTCTTGTTGTAACCTGCTGCTGCATCTTCAGAAAACTTGATAGAAGATTCAACATATTGCAGATCCTGTTTATGATTCATGTGCAGGTCTCACAGCTGGATCGGTTTAATGAATCAGTGGATGTAAACACCCGACTGTGTCGAATCACATCTGCAATTAACAGTTGACCATCAATCTCCAAAAAGGGGGTTGTTTCAATTAGAATAAAAGACGAGTGTGGGTGTAACCGCAGGAAGTGTTGTTTCGAGGTCACGCGAGTCGGAGGAAGAGATCTTTTAGCACCAGAAACGAGTAAAAACAGCAAAAATGAAAAATGTTAGAGAGAGGTGAAGATATGAAATACAGGGAGAGGAGTGCAAGGGAAGACATGCAGCAAAGGTTTGTGGTCAGGCGTCAAAACCAGCGACCGCTGCAATGATAACTATCGCCTTGGTCTATGGTGAGAGCACTGTTACCGCTAAACCAAAGTGGCACCTCTGTTTAGAAGATGCATCCAATAAAACTCATTCTGCAGTTATAACTAACGTCAGTAAACGATTCTCAAACGACCCAAAGGCCCACGGTGCTTCGACTCTGGAGGGGAAGCAATCAACCGCCGTTTGCAAAAGTGAAAAGCGTTGAATTGCAGGTCGCGCGTTGGCCAACAGTGTGTTGAAAGTGAGTGAGGACAGAGCCGAGGCAGCATGTGAAAGACAGCACAAGTTGTTTTCCAGCGTTGACACACAGAGTCCGCTTACACAAACGGCGATGCGTCCCTCGCTCTTTCCTGCTCAGGACTGAAAGGAAGTGGGTCAGTCGTCTAGGTTTCGCGTGAGAAGACAGGAGGAACTCGTTCTGGTGACGTTATTCTCACGCAGACGAGCTGAAATAATCCCGACTTGTATTTTTGCTGTTTTTTTTCTCTCTCTCTCACACTCTCCATCCCTCCTCAACAGAAGCAGAAGTTTGAAGAAGGTGGCGCTGAGTCAGCATGAGTCTGTCTAGAGTTTCTTCAACTGTTATTTTTCTTTTGACGCTCATAAATGGACTTTTTTTTTTGTTTTACTATTACCATGGGAAATGGTCAAACAAAGTGGAAAATTGACAGAAGCATCCAAAGTCACAAGGGTTACCGTTAAAGCCTGACAAGTAAGGGCAAAAAAAAAAAAAACATGTCAATGTGCGAATGCTAATTTTGCACACAGCTAGCTTGATGCTAATCCCTGCTTTATGAGTCACAGTGCTAACCGAATTTCAGTGTTGTTATCCTCTGAGCCACAGGGACACCTTGGATAATTATGTTTTTGTCCTATTTCACTGTCTCTTGTAGACGCTAGACTTTAAAATTCACCTTGACCTGGGTAAGGTAAGGCTCGAACAATGTGCTTGGCCATCCAGTTAAGATGAATGTTATGTTGTTGGTTGTTAAAATCTGGATGAAAGATGTTTTATTTTACTTTCAGTTTTTATTTTCCAGTTTTCCGCCTGAGGGATTGCCACCTTATCGTGGTCAGGGGGTTTGCGAGCCTCAGTGACCCAAAGAGCTATACCAGCAGGAGCTTTAGTCTTCAGGTGGGACACCCAAGTTGGACAGGTCTCAGGGTAGACGCCTGACAGAGTGCAATCCACTTCTCCAAGTTGAGAGCTGGACACACAGCTAACAATCCATGCCGTGAATAAAACACTAACAGTGTTAAAAATGTGTAAAAACAAAAAAGCCCTCCTCAAATCTCTGACTGCCCTCTCATATGTGCATTCCTAGAACCAGCTCTGATGCTAACCAAGCTAAATGCTAAATCCATGCTAATCTCCAGCGCATGAGTCATTGGGGTGATTTACGGGTTACAAGTTGCAAACTAAGACAAGTTTTCAGTTCATGCTAATCTCCAGCAGGTTAGCTACAGGGTTACCTTATGTGATGCTAAATGCTAAGTACATGCTAATCTGTGGGCTGTAATGAGTCTGATATTTAGATGCATCATAGAAACATATGTTAGCTAATCTGTGAGTAAAGATCCTCTACAGCTGCTCTGTGCGTCTGAATGTGAGTTTGACATTGTGTGTGTGTGTGTGTGTGTGTGTGTGTGTGTGTGTGGGAGAGTGAGAATTAGGAAATAATCGCCACAGATGACGGACATATGCTCGGTCAATATGAATCACATTCAGTGCGGATCATCAGCTGTGGCCACTGACGTAATGAGAAAAACTGAAGAGGCCCGAACTCTGATTTTCCCACCATGTTACAGTCTGATGAACTACCTGTGATCCAAAATACACACCATCAAATCTACGCAGACGGACGAACAACATCCTGCAGAAAATATTCAAACTACCTTCATCAGAGGAGCTGAGGCAGGGCTGAAATCTGCACAAAGATCAGCTTCTCTGAGGTGTTTTAGTTCATCAGAAGAGTCAACAAGTTTTTTTTGATATTGGTCAGCAGCACTTCCTCAGACACGATGACTTCTACGGGAAAACACTCAACATCCAGTCGCTTAGGTTCACCATTAGGTCTCGGTTGTTCCCTTACGTTTATGGTTTGTAGTTTAATGTTCTTATCTGATACCGGCCCCGACTCAGTACATGCTATCATAACAGACAGACATCTCAACACTAGAGTCTGATCAGAACTGAAAACACTCAGTCTGCTGTTGGCTCAGTCTTCGGGACACGTCTTTTTTCCCTCTGGAAAGTCGCAAAATCGCATCACGCTTGATGTGTAAAGTCAGGCGCATCAAAATTCGCCTCTGAATATTTCGTAGTTTTGCATCCCATATTTGCGTCGTTCCCGGTGTGTAAGGCAGACTAATAAAACCCTGAAGGTGTAAGAAGATAAAATCTTTTTGTTTTGGTTCTACGTCACTAATCTCCAAATCTGACGACATTTTTATTATTCTCTCCCTGCACTATCGTCGAGGAGAAACAGTTCAGCGTCCACCACATGCCGATCACTCACTGCTTTCTCCTTTTACAACCTCTGTAGGCCTCCTCGGTTGTTGTGGTTGCCAGATCTGAGGGGGAAAATCCCCCTTAAACGTAACCAGGCTGCTGACGGTGAAATGGCTACCAGACCGGAGGAAAGGAAGGCAAGAAGGAGAGGAAGAGACGTGCGGCGCTTTGATGGCGCTGTCGAGGACAGGCTGCGTGTGGCATGCATGTCTGACTCTGAGTGTGTACATGATTGTGTGTGTGTTTATGAATGTGTGTGTGTGTGTGTGTGCCTCGGTGTGGGTGAATGTGAGTGTACTGTATATATTGGTTTGCACGTTTTGTTGTCTGTCATTCCGCCCGTGAGCGACCGCTGTTTACATACACAAAGCTGAGCAGGGGTGGCACTGTGTGTGTGTGTGTGTGTGTGTGTGTGTGTGTGTGTGTGTGTAAGTGGGGAGGCAGGGGTGTTAGCAGTCCTTGGGTTTCAGCGGTTAACCCCTAAACTTTTTATTTTTCAGAGGAGTCGGGGACCGGTGGAGGACGGTGGAGCGTCGGTTCTGGTGTGTGGGCACGCCGAGCTCTTTATGGGCCGGCAACAATCAGGAGGGGAGGAAGTGAAGGGTAAATAGGAGTGGGAGGAGAGTGGGTAAGGAAGTGAATGCCCCCCAATACCCAACATAACCCACCGAGGCCCCCCTCTGAAAAACACCCTCACACCACCACCACCACCGGAGGGAGAAGAGGAGGCTGCTGGACCACAGACCACCCAGAGAGACGGAGACAGACACAGACATGAAGACAGAGACAGACAGACGGCTGGAGAGCAAATTTAAAGAAATTAAAAAACAATGAAAAATCTGCCAGAAAGAAATATGATGCATGGAAAATATAATGACTAACAAAGAAGAGGAACCAGGAAAAAATGAACGGAAAAAATTCTTTGGTTTTTTTCTCCCCAATAAAAATAAACATATTTGGAAAAGAAAATCATGATTTGGAAAGAAAAGGCGTTTTTATTTTAATGCATCGAGACATTAAAAGAGCAGAAAACAGTCTTCTTCTCTAAAGTGGACAAACTTGTAGTTTATGCATGATTTAACACGAACGCTACAGAAGCAAGATCATTAAATTTTAGATTGTGTATTTGATTAATTTTTATATTAGCTTTATAAAAACTACAAAATGTAATGAAAAACTGTTATTCTGCTCATACAAATGTCATCTAAGAGTCAGTTTTGGATTTTTCTCCACAGCTTAATTACATCAAAATCATTTAATGTTATGCACTAAAAACACTTGAAATATAGAAGGCAGTGACCAATTTACAGCAGTCAAACAGACCTATTTATAATGTATCCTGCATCTTTTCAATCCAGTGCAATCAAGTGAACATGCAGGAAAAGTTCACAGAAAACATGTGGTTGTCTTATTATTTACAGTTTACTCATATAACACAAAAGCAGATGCTGCATCATGTTACTGTTCTACTAATCTATACATGTTTGTTACTGTGAAGAACAGGGACGTGGATGTATCTCACAAGACATGGAGTTAAATGAGTGATATGAAAACTGAGACAGCAGACATGTTTACATGTTTACAAAATTTCTTGATCCGATTAAAAAATTGAGGGATCAGAAAATCTGCAACCGCTGTATATACGGGCACGAAATCCAATAATCCGATCATGACAAGAAGTATTTGGACATGCGCAGAGTTGTCTAATTTCGCTACAACAACCACAGAAGAAGAAGAGCAGTATTTACGCCTGTGCTGTCAACAAACCAACAAACACGGTTCACTTAATCTGAGTCGGGATTTTTCCCTCTGTTAAATGTTGTCACTAGATGGCGCTCTTGTTTACTTATTTTACTGTCCCGGCAAAGTCAGGCTTGTTTTACCGCAACAGAGAGTCACGATCAGAATACGTGTTTACATGGACGCTTTTCGGAATCATGATCGGCATAAACCACCTCTCTTGATCGGAATACAATTTCTTTCCAATTGAGACGAATTGGATCAGAATCTTCTGGTTGACATATTAACGTGACACATTTCTATTCTGATCAGGCCTTTATTCCGATTATTTATGCCCATGTTAATGCAGCCACCAGAGGGCGAACTATCTGCTTTTTGGCCTAATTTATAGATGTCGCTGCAAAAGCATGAGAAGCTGCATATACACCCATTAAAAAATGGCCGATTTTACTGCATTGCATAACTTTTGCATATATTAGAGTGATGAGTTTTGCCTCATTCAAGATCAACCAAAGCAGGAGCAAGCCTTATAAACTGTTCATTGGAGTGGATCTTGAATGGAGACGAGGCGAATATGACATGAAGAAGAAACTCTAACGAAGTTAAAGACAATGTAAGGAAGTGAGTTAGAGACCGGATAAAAGAGACAGCAGAAAGAAATTAGAGCAACAGACAGACTGTCAGGATGGATAGAAGGATCAATGCTGTGACTCTGTTTCCATATGCTGTCTGTCCCAGGAGGGAAAAACCTCTGAGCTTTCGTCTTTATTTCAAACATCTTCACAAACAAAAGAGGTCTGTGTGTCCATGAGGTCTGTTTTTATTCTGGACAAGAGGAGACCGAGCAGGATGAGAGGAAGAGACGATTTCAACTACACCTCCTGGGACTACGACTTTGGAAGATAATACACGTTTTAAAATATCGTTTTACAGTGTTTCTGCATTCGATGCTAACTTTTAGAGTAGTCTTTTATCACCTCTTTATATTTTGATGTCTCTGTTTAAACAGGTTAAAGTGGGAAGATGACACAGATTCATGTTCCCCACATCAGTGTTCACAGTGTGTGGTTTCCTTGACTTCACCACCTCCTCCTCTGTCTCCTCTCCTCTTTCTGTTTCTCTCTGATATTGTCGACATTATTAAACGAGGGATGATCCCTGAAATAACTCGTGTTCGCTGCATGTTGGCTGTTATGATCTCTGAGTTTGAAATTCTCATGATTTCCAACCATAAAACTTTCTTTTCTGTTACACTCACCCTTAAATTCCACTGTATTCCACAGCAGCAATTTTCTCCGGATGCCAATTCCTACTGGATGCGTTTATGAGGCAAATTTCGTGGCGAATTTCAGACAGCGGGAATCGCGAGGACTCACAAGAACCTGCAGTTTCACATGCACTCTCGCGATAATGAGTTGTCTCTATAAAGACAGCCACATAACCATAATTGTGTCCTTCCAGTGGAGGAAATCCATGGTGTCAATGAGGTGAAATGAAGCCTGAAAACCTTTGACTTGTTTGTCCACACCCACGTTTGCATGGCGGAAAGAAGCAGCTGGAATTTGACACATTAACTTGAATGCAAATGATCAGCGGCGATTGGTGCAGACGGTCTTTTTGCCGCCGTTCCGCATGCGGTGGAATTTGGGGGTTAGCCAGTGGAGACAGACGAGAGACACTTTGCAGCGTTTAGCAGGTTACAGTGAAGAACTTTCTTTAACCACAGAAACCTGGAGTAGAACCAGACTGATGTCAGACAGTCATCTGTGAATCCACCTCAGCTAAAGATGGTGATGAATTCCTCCCGTTTCCATATCTATGATCACTCACTTATTCATGTTTCTTAATAAAGAAATAAGGGAGAAGTCTCATGATGATTGCATGTACAGGGAGTGTAGGCGCTGCATCGTCACATGGAACAAAATAGATATCGAGGACGTTGGTGAGGAGCAAGAAAAGTGTTTCTGTCCTGCAGACCTCAAGTTGCACGGCCATGCTGACGTCCTGATCGTGTAGAGCAGCTGATGAACCCAGCAGTAGATATCAACCTTCAAGTCTCAACCTGGATTACCGTGCACCTTGCAATTTTTATCAAGTAAATCAAACTGAGACGAACTTCTGCAAAAGCTCTCCAGACCCGTGGGTATGTGAGAAAATCTATCAGTTTCTCGGGGGAATTCAGGGACAAGAAGGGAACTTCACAGATGAGTCACAAACAAAAATAAAAAGGAATGTGTTTAATAAACGCTTTGTTTAAATCGTTCCAGATGGAAACAAATCAACATTGCCCAAGTGGAAAAACATCGTCCTTTTTCTTTTTTTTTGAGCAATGAAAACAAGTCATGGAAAAAGTCTCAACCTTCTTCTTTGTCTTTTTTACACCTTCTTCTCCAAACTTTCCTCACACTCTTCCCTGTCTGAGAGAAAAAAGCAGAAACACCTTATTTTAGGAGGTAAAAAAGGGGGAAGGAGAGGTGGAAAGTCCCTTTAAGGATTCAGGTCAGTTACTTCCACATGTCCGATCTCTCTCTGACCGTCTGACTCAAGCTGCTATCATACAGCTGAGACACCAGTCAGGTGATGAACGCGGCCAGCTGATTATGTGCAAGAAGACAAAAGTTATGAGCTTGAACATGTCTGTTTCTGTCTGTAAATGATTTTAGCAGACATGTGAAGAAGACGACAGGCTGGTTTAGTGAGGAACATCTACTGTTTGGCGTGTAGTTGTAAGGTTTCTCCTCCACTACGCTGACGATACTCTGCTATTCATGATGGAGTCTTTACTTTGAACATCTGTTAAGATTTAAAGTGTTTTTAAAGTGTATTAATACAGACAGTCAGTAGAATGCATGAAGCATTGAGAGAAGCAAAGATTCAAGATGCAGTCTCCAGACTCAGTAAACAATAAAATATGAAATGCATCGACTGAATAAAGACTGAGATGTTTGAGGACACACATGGCAAATCTCGTGATTAAAATGTTTCAAAGTTCAGGTCTTTGGCTTCAGTTTTGACCCTTTTTCCTACCTTTATTAGGGCCAGAGTAAAACGTGGAGCAACAGCCTTGTTTGAACCCGAAATAAAAAAGAGATGAATAGATTAATTTGTTTATTTATCTATTCCTTTTTCCCTTTCTGCCGTTCTTCCAGCCTTCCTACCTAAACGAGCCCAAATCTTTCAGTTTAAATGGGCTCCAAAACTCACCAAACTTCAGTCATGCATTAGGCCTGTTGAAAAATTTGATATTTTACAGGTTTTGCAAAATCGCTTGCTCAGTAGCACCCCCTACAGTTCAGCCTAGATGCGTGACTTTTGCAAGGTACATGAATGATGCAAAAATCCTCTTGAACCCATCCTCTAATCCACCAAGAAGCGACGTAAAATTTGTCTGATGTTGCAGACAAACTTTGGGGTTCAAAATTATCAAAGAATTTCCCGTGTTTTCAGAAGGTGGTCGAAGCAGCGCGTCAAACTCTAATAGCGTAACAGGAAGTTACTGTAACATTTCCACACAGTGTCCGATCTCAGTGATATTTCATCAACACGATCGAAGTCAACCCCTAAACACAATGACTTCAGTTATAACGCCACCCTGTGGGATAGCATGGTACTAGCTCCCCCGGTACAATATCCAATCATGTCCAGATTTCACGGTCCAAGCGTACTCTGATCTTCTTAGACACTCTTGTTGTAGTTATGGTGCCATCTATGTTTTACCTCCCACTTGCACCATTAAACTTTTTTTTGCCATTAAAATTCATAAATATTTGAGCTTGGTTAAATTTATAGCTGGTAGAAGTTGATGTTTGGGCTTTAAATTGAACATGCATGCTGAAAGTCATGGGCTGGAAGGTGGACCTAAAGGTGCAGTGAGCAGCTTCTTAATATCATATGGTTGGGACATACCCCAATGTGTGCAAAGGTGCAAGGTGCTTGAATTTAGCGCCTTATTTAAGGTTTGGGCACATAAACAGGTCAGTTCAACTCAACCCAAAGATGTTCACTGGAGTTCTTACCCAGCTCTGCAGGTAGAAAGTCTGGCATAACTGCCCTTTCTGCTAAATTGACTCGTAAAGTAGTTACTTTGAATCTGATATCTGGTTATTTTACAGGGCGTCTAGTTAAAATTAGCGATTTTAAGGAACAAAGGATCAGTATTAGACAACCAGAGGATGAGAACAAGTTTCACTTCCTCACTGAGCTCTAACAGAAAGCATTGAAATGAAAAAAATAACAGCAAAGGTTAAAGATGATGTCGGTCTGATCTGACAGAGTTATGGAAGTGGTGGCACTGAGGTCTGTGTCATTAGTAGAAAGTCACAGAGTGTTTTTACCGCAGCATTTACAGCCTGATTTGTTTTTCAAATGCATGTTTATGGAAAAATGATTTTCTACCAAGTGTAGAGGGGAGGATGTTTGGAGAAAAGGGACTTTTTCCTGAAATGTGACTTTTATCTGCGCCTGTAGGCCGAGCGAGGGAGCGAGCGGATTTGATTTCTTCTTTCTGATTGAACTGCCGCCTCGTCGTCAGGGTGGTGATCTGAGGTTTCTGGTTGTTCTGTTTTCTTGTAAACCGTCAGTCAGGGTTAACTACACCTACACATTATATCGAGGGTGTGTGTTTCTGCAAAGTGCAGATATGTTTGCAGAAGTGTATAAACACACTTTACTGTCTGAACTGTGTGTTCAGACCGTCTTTGTGTGATTGTGTGAGTTTCTGTGTGTAGATGAGGTTCAGGCGATGACTGTACAGGAGATTAAACCTCAGATCACCTTCAATAATGAGGTTAAATCATGAGAAAGGTCATTTATCCACTGGAAGGGCATCCAGAAGGCATGTTTTTAGCCGTCTTATGTCAGAAATACTTCCAGAGTGTTCTGTTATATTTCTAATAAAAGGAAAGAGTTTTTTTTTTAGTTTTTATCTGATGGAAACTCAAAAAAGGAATTAGAAACTCTGGAAGGGCATCCACTATTTTAGATTTTGATGATGGAAAGGCATCCGGGAAGCACTTTCTCTATGTTTGCTAAATTCAAGGAGCATCTGGAGGGTCCTCATTTACAATAATGTCGACAATATCTGAGAGAAACAGAAAAAAGAGAGCTGACACAGGAGGCTGTCGATAAGTAAAGGGTGAAATAAAATAAAAATGCTGGTAGGGCATCCACTTCGTGTTTTATTCACTGAAAGGGAATCCACAGTGCACAATGTTAAGTAGTACACACTGGAAAAGCATCCAGAGTGCAGTTTACCACCGTTTTTATTGCATGGGCATCATGAGAGGACTTTTTAAAAAACTTTTTATCCAGTGGAAGGACATGCAAAGAGCACTCCATAAGCATTATCTTTAGGAAGGGAACCCAGAGAGCAATATATCTACATTTTGTCCACTGGGAGGGCATCCAGAGAGGATGTTTCTCTTTCTTTCAGTCTTTCTTTACAGACCTTAAAAGTAGAGAGGCAATGATATTAAAATCTTGCGGTATGATATCGTCACGGTATTAAGGCCACGGTACGGTATTATCGTGGTATTTACTTCTTCTGTAGTAACTTTAAAATGCCTCACTTGCGTCTTGGTTTGGCATCACGAATCTTTTCCAGGTGATGGTTCATCAAGTGGCTTCTTATATGACTAGTGTGGTTTGCCTCTCAGACTGGCCCACACAATAGCGTCAGAAAAAAACTACGCTGGCGGGAAAACTCCAAGTTCTTGTTCATTACCGTTGCATGCCACGGCATTACTGTGAGAGTTTTGAAACCGAAATACTGCGATTTTTACAATACCCTGACATCCCCATTAAACTGTATCCGTTCGCACTTGTTTGAACATTTTATCTCCTGGAGGATCATCCAGAGAACACTTTGTTCCTGCTTTAGACATTTACAGACACTATTTTAGGACTTCATACTGGAAGGGTTTTTAATGGTTGGTGACAGATGAGGGAAATCCTGTCAACGGTACCAAACCTGCCTGTCTCCAAACACCCACAGGTCGAGAACTGCACCTAGATTTTAATTATTTATCGTGGGGAAGGGCTGCTACCTGCACGGTGTGTGGTACGTTTGTGTAAGACCGTCTGTCAGCCTGTCTTTGCCTGCCTGTCTGTCTTTCACTGTTTTTCTCTCTTGTGTTCGTAACGGCATGTACACCTACTCAGGGTGTGTTAATGTGTGTATTGTACTCTGTCTGCTCTTGCTCATTACTTCTTTATCTACTTAATGTGTGTGTTTGTCAGCGTGTGTGTTTTGGAGGCAGGTTATAAGCGCCGAAATCCCTCTTGCTTTCGATTGTGTCTGTCTGAAGTGACTCATCCTCTGATCGCGGGGCATTAAGTGCGATTAGAGCTCATTGTTGGGAAACAGACGGTGGTTTTGATAGGGAAAGGAGAAACTGTGAGCCAGACAGTTGGGGAGGGCAGTGAGTTCAGAAAAATGTGATTTTCAACTAAACAGATCTATTGTTTCTCAATATGGCTGCACCCTCTTCTTCTTCTTCGACTGTGGATGACATTAGCTGTAAACATCTTGACCTATTTGTTAGGACGTTCACCTTTTTCAGAAGTCCGATTTAGTCCAGACAGAGTGGGTGTTACGAGGAATTTTCCAGTGCAAAGATTTTTCCATTATCAGGATGTTAACGTGATTATTTACTGAACTGTCATCACTCATTTGCATCGACATCTTGCAACATAACCACCAACACAGAACTGTAATTTGTTCCCATGAACCTGAAGTTATCTAGAATTAGACAGAAGTGTGAACTCCTGCAGAAAGTAGGAAGAAGAGACGGTTTTGCAATGAAGGTTTCCTAATACAGTTTTCTTAAAAATGATGCAGAAACACTCAGTACGTAGTAGGGGTGGGATAAAAAATCGGTACAGTAAAGTATCAAGATATTTTGTGTGGTGATATATTGTATCGTCCCAAGTAACGATTTTTCAGATTAATTGTTGATATGAAGTCAAATCTTTGATAATGGAAAAATAAAATCAACTGTTTGTCCAGTGAGGAGAAAGTTAGTACAACAATAAATGCGAGGTTTGCAAGATGAGCAGAATAAAAATAAAATACAGGAGAAATATGACAAACATAAAGAAAAGACAGATGCTAAATAAGCTTAATAATTTTTAAAAAAGTATATATAGTATCGCAATACTTACTGTATTGCAAAATGTTAAAAATCGCAATAATATCATATCGTGGGGCCACTGGTGATTCCCACCCCTAGTCTGTACTTTAACTGAACAACCTCAGATTGGCGATTTTAGGGCTCGAAATCGTACGAAATAACATCGATCTGCAAATTTCACAAATCTGTAATCTCTAATTATATAATATTAACGATAAAAGAAAGGCATTATTGACCCTCTGAAGTCTGTAACATCTGCAGACACATAGATGCACTTCACATATTTACCTTCACCATTTCACTTGTTAAACGGACCTGGACCCTTCAATTCGTACTGTTCAAAGAGGGAGGGGGAAGTTAGTAAGGCTATGAAAACTCAAAACTTTATAAACTCCCCTGAACAAGGGCGGACAGACCCCCAAAAAGAGGACATGTCCGGGTAAAATAGAACGTTTGGTCACCCTAGGTTTATGAATCGGTTTTCTTGCAGGACCCGCCCCATTTTTTTCAAAGAAAGCACCGTGATTGGATGAAAACTGAAACCAAGTGAGAAATGTTTAGAAAAAAATAAATGGGTCTGGTAAAGTTGAGCTACACACACACAAAATCTAACATGTGAATATTAAAAACTCCTTTTTACATAAGCGTGTCTCTAATCTGGTTTCTCCTTCAATCTTCTGCTTTGTTTACAGGATCTTATCAAACAGCCGTGCAGGATTTGCTGAGTTGTTGTTGCGCTCTCAGACCGATGCTGTTTGGTATCTTGTTGCAACAGCAGAGATTTCATCGGCTGAGTGACAGAGAGGAAATCTTTCTGAGGAAAGCCTGCAGAATAGTTTGTAATTCTCCAGGATTAAAAGCAACTTCCACACCCAAACACACGGCAGGATTCACCGGGGGAGTGTTTCACATCAATCTGAACTCAAGTTTTCTTTATTTTCTGATTTATAAATTCAAAATGAGTGAATATCTGCAAAATAACAACCCTGCTGTGTGCAGACGTAGTTAAAGTGTTATACTTTCTTTTCTCTTTCCCCCTCTCTTGTTCCTTTCAGTCGTCCCTCCCTCCACTTCCTCCTCTCTCTCTCTCTCTCTCTCTCTCTCTTTCTGTCTGTGTTTGGTCTTCCTCTTCATTCTTTCATCCATCAGAGGAAGAGGAGGAGGAAGAGGTCGAAGCTCCGTTTGAAGTTGGCGTCCGTCCCAAATGTAGTGGGCACACCTGGAGGCCAAATTAGTGGTGTTGTCCTCCGGTGACACGAACACACACACACACACACACACACACACACACACACACACACACACACACACAGTCCTCTACTTATTTTCTCACACACACATTTCCATCCTCACATCAAAGTGGGGAGACTACAGGGCTCAGAGGGACTAAATACAGTTTACCTTTTACTCCACTGACTGATCGGCTTCCTCTACACACACACACACACGCACGCACACACACACACACTCACACACACACACGCCCCCCTCCAGCCATAACAAAGAATTACATCATGTGTTTGTGTGTTTACACCTGGCTGTGTGTATTAACAGAAAGGTGTCCAGTTCTCCTGGTCGGGGTCAGAGGTCACAGTCTTGTACTGTGATACCATGACTCCCCTGACAGCGTTCATCTTACCTGTGTTTACACCTGTGTGCTTCTCTGTGCAAACATACTGTAAAATACCGTAAATCCTAGAATAGAGGCTGCCATTCAATCTTTGTTCATCACTTTTTTACCTTGTAAATCTCAGGACCTCGTTTTGGACAGGTTTAGTGGGTCAGGTCCTCACTTTGTACTAAATATGAACACACTCGAACCCAAGTCTGCTTCTGGGGCCTGAGGCAGTGAAAGTAAATAAAAGACCCGGCCTATATTTAAGGATTTACGGTCGTGAAACACATTTTTGATTTGATTAAGATCGTCTGAATCCTGAAAACAACCTAAAGGGAAAATCTAAGAGACCGGGGTTTTATATCTATGATTGACTTTAAGTTTTCAGCTAAGGCAGATTTACTTAGTGTAAAACTTTAAACTCAGAGTCTCTTAACGCTGAAGCTCGAGGCTTCCTCCAGATCATGTTGAGGAAACACCTCTGCTGCACAGACAGACATCAGGCCCTGAATTAAGGATTAACAACAGTTATAAATTTCAGTTTTGGCAGGTTTTAAGCGTCTACGAGAGATCTGACTTGAGACCATCAGGTGGATATTATTATATATACAGTTCATGCACACAACAAGCACTTTGACCCTGTTTTTGACCCTGTTTTCACTTTATTGCTCAAACTACCTCCACACTCCTGGATGTCATGATATGTTTAGTTAATTCAGTTTTCTCCTTGTGTTGTTTGAATGATTTTTCTGTGTTTCTGTGCCCTATTATTTCTGTTCCCCTGTGGTCCGGTCTGTCAGTTTGTGTCTGACCCTGTTTTCCTTCATGTTTTCTGGGTTTTATTCTTTAGATCAGTTTTCAGTTCATGTTTTATTTTGTAGAAGTTTATTCTCCGTGTTTCTAATCTTGTTCTACCTCCTCAGTAATTGTCTTCACCTGTGTCTCAGTGTCTCACCTGCCCCTTGTTGCTCGTTTCCCTGTGTGTATAGTCTAGTTTGTCGGTTCATTGTATGTATGTCGTAGCGTATACTTGTGACCCCTGTTGCTCCCTGTGATTTTGCCTTCAGTGATTTTTGTGGATTTTTCTCTTTTGTTGCTTTTAGTTCTTTTCATTAAAATCATTTTTTTGTTCTGCATTTGAGTCCTTTCCCTTTTCTTCAACTCTTTCCTCAACTCCAGGAGTCTGGAATGGACCGCTCGTATCAGAGATTTTAGATGCAGGCCGATATAATCTAATATTTGTATTTTGGCTGATATTGGACCGATATCAATATCGTATTAGGACAACCCTACCTTTTGTGTCCCTCCAGAGTTGCCGTAGGCTGCCATGAAGCGTTGATAATCGTAGACTACACATGTATGAATTCATGCGACAAAGCTCGATTTGATTATACTAATGAACATCTGTGTCCATGTCCGCCTCCTCAGACTGGTCCTCTCGGCTCAGCTGATACCTGTGTGGTTTGTTTACATGACGTAACAGGAGTGTATATGACAGATGCTCCTTTATGCAAGGTAATATCTGCTGTTATGTTCTGTCAGGACAGGGTGTTGTTGTTGCTGCTGCTCCATAAGAAGAAGAAGAAGAACAATAGTCGGTCTGAGAATATTCTCCGTGTTTGTGTTTACGTCTGCTGTCATACACTAAAGTCTCGTCTGCTCCTCTCTGCAGGACAGATCCTGTTACAGCTCATCCTGCTGCATCACTTCTTCTTCTTCTTTGTGTCGCTCTGTTGAAATGTGTCAGCGTGTCACTCACTCAGGTCACATGACGTGGACCCGATGAACCCTCAGGAGGACTGAGAGTTTCTGATTAAGACGGACAAATGAAAAGAGAAAATGTGATTGAAGAGAAATCCTCCGGAGAGATAAACGTGAGCTGATGTCACATTGAAGAGGAAACGGACGCGGCGGCCAATTAGTCAAGTGACAGCGGTCATCATTAGGCGCTCACACGGTTTCACCACCACATCACAAGTTCAGATGTGCTCATGGCCTCTGTCACATGTTACCCATCACTCTGTTTCCCATCATGCCTCTCTTCCTCCACCGTACAGAGACCGCACGTGCTAAAAATACCTCCTCAGTTTATGACCCATTTTAAAAAACCTCAAAAGTGAATTTTTTCTTCTTCTTGTCAACTCATGCAATTAAAAAAAACAAGAATGAAGCAAAAGCAAAACCAAACATGGATTAAAGGAACTTTTTTTTAACACTTCTGAAAACTTTTTGGAGTAGAGGTACGGATCCAAGACAAAACACAGTTTTACACTGACTGTTTTTTGACTCAGTGACAATGCAGATAGCATGACATGTCCAGACTTATTCACTGAGATGATCCAATCAAATTATTTCCTTTTTCTTCGGGGCATTAGCAACGGCTGCATGTGAAAGTGTCTGCTGTGTAATTATTCTGTCACGTCAAACACCGTAGACGAACTTGTGTGTCTCTTCTTGAACAACCTGCAACCTCCAAGCTTGAGGATTAAACTCGACGCAGAAATGCTTAAAACTAAACAAAAGCCTAAAATATAAACATGTGTACAACTTGGTTTTAACACAGAGTCTAAAAGCTTCATAGTCTATCAGCAGCAGGGGTTCATTTTCAAAGACGGTAAGTTTGGCGAGTTAGAGGCATGACTTCACTTCAGGAAGACTGTAGGAGCTCAGAGAGACCGATAACCAATCAGAGAAATAAAGGAAAAATGTAATCATGCACGTTTTTGAAACTGCTTCATCCACTTATTCAGAACTGCAGCAGGAACACATACAATGGACCATCCTGAGGTAGAAGCTGCTGTCTTGGTTGGTCCAGAGTACCTGAAATCACCGGGAAATCAGCTGACAGCTCTAAACCTGCAAGCAAAAATGAAGATGTTACGATACTACATAGTATTTTGTCTCCACAGTGTCACTGAGAGACTTCAAAAGTTAATGTAAGTTTATAAACATGCTTGATGCACATTTATATTTGTACTCTACAAACCTGCAGGGGTATAAGAATGTAAATTGGCTTCTTATTAATGTGCACTGTCTCTTTAAAAAAGCAACTCACTCAACATCTATATATTTTTTAACTTTTAGCGGCTGCATTCACCTGTTCATGCTGAACTTTTGCAGGAAAAAAGTCCAATCAAAGTCAAGGTGAAACTTTTGTTTGTGTTTACAGAATTGCAGGAATATTTCTGAAGTTTGGTGCAAATATTAAAGCAGACATTGAGTGTCACCATCCTCTAAATCCACAGATTTACACATCCAACATGGCCGCCAGAGTGGAGGTTACGTCACATGAAAGGAAAACAGCATTTTTTAAAAATTTTCACAAGAGTCATATGATGAGTTTGTGGTGATTTCCCATCAGAGTCAGGAGACCAGATCAGTTTGACCTGATGGTTGTGTCTATCAGGTGTTCTTGCTGCCATGACCACACACACACACACACACACACACACACACACACAGACACACACACACGTGCAGACTCAGAGCAGACAGCGCTGTAGGAAACGCTCAGCTTTTGTTTAATAAACATGTTGACGCTCCGACAGCCAATCAGAGAGCAGCTCTTTCAAACACACACACATACACACACCTCTCTGACCCAGACATATATGCTCGGAGCAATGTTAACACCTACACACACAAACAAGTCTGTCTTATATTCTGACGGTTCGCCCTCGGTTGTTCCCAGAAATCAGAGACGATCACAACGAGACGACAGGCGAGGCCCTCGGGACCCACAACACACATGTACTGTAACTGTACCTGCACAACACACACACACACGCACACACTACAGCAGTGAGTGGTAATCATTTTAAACACGCCTGAATACCTGTTTGTGCTCACGTGACTTCCTCAAGCGTCTCATTAAAACCTTAATCCTCTTTATTTCACACTTGAACCCGAGCTGGAGTGTTTGTTTGGATCCAGAGGGAGTGAAAAGTGTGTCTGATGATAATTACTGCATTTTTTAATTTAATTAAGACTAAAACAGCACCACACCTCTGCTTTGTCGGGGCCCGTGTACGTTCTAATCTGAGGTTACAGTGATAGAGTGAAGGTGTCACGTGCGGCCTCAGTATGACTGAGAGGTAAAACATGCAGCTCTCAGGTGTGTGTGATGACTATTTTTAGGGTCAGTGTTGCGAAACAACAAAAAGTTCCACTTCACTCCTCAGCATGTGTGTTTTTGTTTGTTTGTGAGCGTGCCAGAGGTTCAACCACAACACTAGACCGTCCTACTCTACCTGTAAATTACAGAGTACACTGTAGCTACTGTCATAACAAACTACACCTGAGTGTCATGTGACCTCCCGCCATTATGTAAGAGATCTGGCTCTGTTCGCCAATGACATCATCTTGAGATAAGAGTCTTCTCCATGTCGGACAACCGTGGTGAAGAGGGTTCGATCGATATTCCAACCCTCAACTCTGACCTGAAGCTGTGAGCAACGACTGAGAGAGGAAGATCTCAAGAAGTTAGAGAGAGTCTTAAAGACGGGGTCAGGGTCTGGAGGAGAGTCTTGTAAAGAAGTCAGTCGTAATGGTTCAGGCATTTATAAGAAAGCCTTCGAGGTGACTTTCCTTAAAGGTGTTGAAGGTGTAGCGAGGTAGGAGGAGCCCAGAGTTCCCTGGGAGAACTACATGTCACCACAGAATTCCAACTGGAAAACACTGCTGGAAAGACGGATGCTTAGACTGACTAACGCCAAACGTTCATTCAGAACGGCAGCAATAAGGCCATTGGCGTCGATCAACACTGATTGTTTCCATTCAAGTTAATGTGTCAAATTCTACAGGCTTCTTTCTGGCTCCCCTGCGGTACAGTCGGCTTCGTAGACAATTACCAGGGTTCTATTTTTTCCAGACACTAGAGCATGGTGGATAAATTCAGCACAGATTAACCCGTACTGGAAAGGAAGTCGGGCACAGACACAAAATAAAACATCTGGCTTCTTTTCAAAATAAAACACTCCATGTTTCAAGCGGATCATATTCCATGCAAACATGGTTTGATTCCTCGATAAAGATAAATGTTGCTCTTACCCATGGTTAATTCCCAATCTCCACAAAAGTGTCTGATCTACTGGGCTGAACAGAGTAGATTTCCTCCTCTGGAAGGACACAATCTACTGCAAATATGTCTATGTGGCTGTCTTTATAGAGACAACTCGTTATCATGAGATTGCATGTGAATTCACAGGTTCTTGTGAGTCCTTGTGATTCCTGCTGTCTAAAATTTGCCTCACAAACGCATCCGATAGGAATTGGCGGACAGTGAAAATAGCCACAGTTCAGATGCGGTGGAATCGGTGCAGTGAAACTTGTCCTGAACTTTTACCAGCACTGCAGTAAAATCTCTTTCTGAATTTTCACCCAGTGTGAGTCGTTGTTGAGGTGATCAGGTGACTGAAGTGGACCTGGGAGAGCCAGAGGTTAGAGAAGCAAAATCTGTTTGGAAATCAAGTCGACTCATTCATCTGTTTGCACTAAAAACTGCCATGGTATGTCTCTGTTGCTCAGTCAGCCATCATATCCTGCTTCCAGAGATCGACCATCTCCACTCTTCCTCTAACAGGCTGAACTTCACTTTGTGAGGGATGAATGAAAAAGCAACTTCTGATGGTTTTCTGGGGCAGTGGTCTTGAGAAATATTCAAAGTTGTCTCCATCATAAAGACGAAGGAGAGCTGACATTAATTTCTAAAACAGTGTCATGAACAAGAAAACCAACATTTCAGTCTTTGTGTTTGGCACCGTCTGTTGTCGTTCTGTCCTTTTAGTGGACTCATATGTGGACTCATATGTGGACAGTGTGACAGATGAAGCTGTGAGTTATGTCCACCTCTGCTCGGCCCTGTGTCAGCGTTTGTCCTTGACTGGGGATGAGTTGTGTGAAAAGGGGGGTTTTCGGCCCAATCCGGATCAGGACCTGCAGCCTTTAAATCACTCCCGGGGTCACGGCAAAATCATGACCGCCAGATTAGATGGAAACACACTCTCTCTCTTTATCACTGTCTGATTAGACACTGAGGGAGGGAGGAGGAAGAAGAGATGACGAAGAAGAGAGAAAAACATCCTCGACTTTCAGTTTCAGAGATTTCAGAGTGTTTTTCCACTCCTGACGGTGGCCCGCTTACATCTCTCCTCTCTGTGTCTCCAGGTGTGGCTGTAAGAGAAAGCCAGAGTCTCCCCATATCAGCTGTCAGACTGCATGACTCATCACGCATGTCTGGCTATTAATGACTCACACACACACACAGAGGGATGTACAGTACACACATATCTGCACCCACGCGCAGGGGAATTATTTGCTAATGGCTTTAAGCTGAAAGACACACATACACACAGACAAACTCACATTTTTGCACAAACAAACACACACACACACGGAGGGCATTCCCATGTGTGCGTCTGACTCAGCGTCTGTGAGCGTCAGACACAGACTGAGGAATGTAAACAGCAGCGGTTGCAGGTTCACATCCCTGCAGAATGTGGAGGACTCCATGTGTGCGACACCGCTGCTGTTTACTCTTTATTTACCTGCGGACGACTTTACGCATCGTCTCGCAATCTGACACCACCCTGTCGCAGATAACCCTCCCTGAGGTCGGCTTAGAAAATCATAACTGAGCGATTAATAACGAGAAGACGTGTTGTTTCTGCAAATGGAAAATTTTTCAAGTTATCGCCACAATTCAGATAAATAATAATGTCTGGACCAATAACAGAACCTCATATCCTTCAAAATATGAAGCACAGGAAGTTAAAATGGTTGATTTGTAATGTTGGGGTCAGATTTCAAAACAAAGAAAGTCGAGAACATTTTCCTGTTTTAAAGATAAACAGTTTTAAGTAAAAGAGTATTTCAAGAATTATGACTTTATGCAACAACTGTATGTATATGCACATAACATTTAAATCTATATTTTGACTAACGTTTGTTGTGCAAATTTAAAGCTCTAGTGAGGAACTTTAGGTTTGTGTTGATTTTGGTGAAAAAGCAGACTTTGTTTATTTTGTCCTTTACAGGAAGCAGGTTCAAACAGGATAGGCACAAAAATCTGAGATGTGTTTTGCTTTTTGTTTACATAAAAACAAAAATAGAAATCAAACGAGAAAAACAGGCCTGAGCACCTGTAGAGGCAGGATAGTCCATGTTTTTATTTTGGAGGGGTGTGTCACAGATTTCTGCAGCAAGTTTGCAACATTTCTGCAATAATTTTGAGTTTAATATTACCTCTGAATGTGCAGCACATCCCCCTTATGGATAATGTTATTGGACATTTGCACCTCGCCGCTTAAGTTATAAAACAAGAGATTAAAGGTGGTGTCTGAATGTCAACTTTACAGTCAGGAGTCAGCTTGCCTGGTAGGTTATAAACAGGGTTACAATAAAAGAGAATAAAGCATCTTCATTGGTCCCATCTGCCGACAAAACTCTGATTTGCTGTTGAAATGAGGGAGGAAGTGGCGAGATTTTCAGCGCTCAGAGGAAATGCATCATGCGAGTGGGAAACCCGCTCCTGAACAACAACAGTAAGAACAGTAATGGAGAGAGCCAGGTTGATTTTCCCTCTTCCTGCGTGTGTGTATGTGTGTGTGTGTGTGTGTGTGTGTGTTTGGATGCTGTAACACCTGTGTGAGTGCGTTCCCACTCACTCATTCCCATCCCTCCTCCTGCTGCAGGTGCTTCATGCAGCTCAGCGCTTCATTCATAAAACCAGGCCGCCATCGGGGGGGAAAACAAAAGGAAGGATGTCGCACTTCGGCCCAGCAAAGAATGGACGCATTGTGTCGCCACGACGACACATCCACCGCTCATTTCTCACACTTTTCATTTCAAAGTGGACTCAGGCTGAAGTTCACAATGTTGGGAAATGATCGCCGGGGTAATTTCCACACTGCGCGCTGATTCTGTTTTGGAAAAACTCGAATCCTGACTCAGATTTTTGGCCGCCGTTGTTGGTATAGGTTGTTATATAACTAAAAAGTCTCAGCAGACAGTGCCTTGTTCATCCTAAACTCAATGTATAGAGCCGTCTTAAAGGCTCATGGGTAAACATCTCCATGGATATGGGTGCTGTAACATGTTGATAATCTCCCCCTCATTGAGCCACATGTAGACAGACACAAACACAGAGTCCCGTAGCTAACATCACCTGGATTTCCTCTGGACTCTCGTTCCTCAGAACTGACTCAGTCGTGTCCCAATCCCAGCAGAGGTGAGGTCGCCTAATCCTCCTGGTCTCCCTTTCTCCACACCCCGGGACACTCATGGCCACAACACCCGCCCTTTAACCCCCGCCTGAGTCACCTCGCCCGAGCTAAAACCCTTCAGCGGGCCTCGCACAGTCACACGGCCACAGGAACGTTAGCTAAAGCCGCGCTGAGCTAACCGTAGCTTTACAGATTAGCCTGTCATGAAACTGGTTTGGAGAAGCATTAGAGTGTTTCAGGTGTGTTTAACCTCCATTTCTTTTTAATCCGCAGGGATTGTTCCGGAATAGTTTCAACCTGCAGATGTTCGGGCTGACTCGTGTGCGGTCTGACATTAGCAATGCCCGGAATTAGCTAACGGTGGTGTGATTATTTTCGACATGACAAGCGAGCTGCTTCACTCAGAGACTCACCGGCCTGGTGTCGATTTTTAGACATGTTTTTGTGGTGTGTGGTGTTATTTTTACTGATGTCAAAGTTAGGACCAGGTGGTGTCTTGATCAGCAATTAACTACATTTCCCATGATGCTTTGAAATGTTTTTGTAATTTGCTGTCTGTCTGAGGTGTCAAATCTCTGAGCTTGGTTTAGGCATTAATTGAGGGTCATTATGAAACAGTCATATTTACATGTCTGCAGGTCGTCCTCTTCACTTGCATTAGTTATATAATGTCTTTGTTTTGTATTGTATGTATTTCTTAGTTGCTCAATTTCACCACTACCTTTCCCAAGCTGTTTGGATCTGCCTCCAAACTGGACGGCAGCAGGAAACAACCAGGTCTGCAGATGATCCATGAGAGTCAACCTGCTCTCCATGCAGGATTTACACCAGTGTTTCTTACATCATAGTCCCAAAAGTAAGGATGGGAATCGAGAACCGGTTCTTGTTGAGAACCGGTTCCAAACAGTTCAATCCATCGACATCATTTACATTTTATCTTCATGATTCTGGTTTAATTTTACAAAGGAAGATGACAACAGTGCAACGTTTGTCGAGCAGTGACAACATGCAAAGGTGGAAACATCAGCAGCATGCTTAAACATTTGTCAACGGGGCACAGCATCAAATATAAGGAGTCACATGTATTCAATGCTCTACACCGTCGTCAGTCACTGCAGCTTCGTCTCAGCACGGCATGGAAGGAACGAATTTTAGGGTGACCACATGTCCTCTTATACCCTGACATGTCCTCTTTTAGGGGGTTGTTTGGGGGAGTTTATAAAATTCTTAAAATATCCTGGATTCATTAATTCATTCATTCATTAAAACAGTGCAGAGGATCAGTGCTCTCTGCAGCTCCGCCCCTCCGCTCACTGCTAAGCAAAGCCACTGACGTGACGCACGCATGCGCTGTCTTTGGGAATTCAGAATATGCGTTAAACTGAGTTAGAAGCACATACAAAACTCTCGACCTGACCAAAAAACCCTCAAAATTGCACATACAAGTCCACCCCACATAGTAGTGTCTTCTTTTTGGGGGTTCAGAATATGGTCACTCTAACGTATGTCCTGTGTTTACATAAGCACACTGCCAGAAATGCTGAACAAACAGCATTTTTGTTGGATTATATTTAGACTCTCACTGAAGGTAGCATACATCTTTTTATCACAGACTCAATAAAACTTTGAGTTAACAGTGAAAACCTACAATCTACTTTCTTTTTACAAATCAAAGAAAGGCACTGATAAGGGAATCGTTAAAGAATTGAATTGATAAGCAGAACTGATAATGACATCGATATTGATAAAATCTTATCAGTTCTCATCCCTACATAAAAGGTTCTGGTCTGACTATGCTGTAGTCACCTGTTTATTTTGGAACATCTCCACCCTTGAGTCAGACAAGTGCCAAACTGACACCGCAGGAGGACTAAGGTCATATCTCAGACGTCATAAAGTTGAGAACAAGAATGTGTCATACATAAAAGAAGACCCAAAAGCCAGCTTGATTTTGATGTGGTTTTCACACACACACGCGCACAAATACACACATGCACAAATACACTCACGCACACAAACAATGACAGAGCGGTCAGCTGGATCTGTTTTGTCCAGCTGTCCACCTCCATCCAGAACTCCAGACCTTTGACTCAGACCCAACGTGTGAGTCTGCAGGACCAGTTTCAGAGTGGGGACTTTTGGAAATTGAACACATTTGATTTAGTTTACAGTAAAAGTTCAGAATTAAGTGTTAATGAGTGTCCCCATAAAGATATACAAACATGTGTGTGTGTTTTGTCATGACCTTTTCTTTTGACGTTTTGCTCTAAAGTTCGATCTGATTCATCCAACAACACAAAATCATCCAAACACACAAGAGGCAGATGTTGTGAACACACTTATTCATCAAAAGACAAACACACACATGAAGAAAATGCTGCAGAAAGTGCACACAGTTCATTTGTGTGTGTGTGTATGTGTGTGTGTGTGACAAACAGGGCTATAAATAACACAGAAGAGGAGGAGACACTCAGCCCTTTTGTTGTGGTTTGATGTTTTGTCGCTGGAGGATCCTGCAGGCACACAAACATCCCCGACAGTAATTACCGTCTCCGTGGACACTGACGACTGACGAGCCTCCTCTCAGCCAATCACAGGCTGAGGAGGGGACAGGGGGGACTTTGAAACTCTTAGAGCTGGAGTTGTTGTTTAAGTGTTTGTCCCTCAGAAGCCAAAACAGGTAAAAGTGACGGAAAGACACTGAACTGTAAAAACAAAAAGCAAAACTGTTGATGATGATAAAGATGTTATTTAGTTCTCTGAGTTTGTTCCTATCACTTTAAAATCACATGAAAACAGCAGGTCCTTTAATACGACTGTTAATGCCATGAAGACTTGTACTTTTATGAAACAAGCACCAACATATGTCTGTTTTTCAGTAGGTTGGCATAATAATTTCTTGCACAAACTCCTTGCAAAAAATTTACATTATGTAACATTATTTTGTACTTATGTTTAATTATAAAAGAATGATTATTGTCGCTGATGGGCAGGAACTTCATGTCTTTTTATTTGGCATGATCTGCTGTCTTGCCTGTTAGCAATCTCTCTAACTTTTAACAGATGGAAAATTAAAAGCTTTTTTTTTTTTTTCAATTTAAAATTAGGATGCAAAAATGAGTACACCCCAATCAAGCTAAATTTTAGTGACCATATCAGCCTTATGTTCATCTGATGGTGAATAAAATGTTATGTTAAAGTCAGCTTTGTCAAAAATTTGGAAATTGTACTTTTGCTCATCTATACATTGAGTAATACATGACTTTTAATAGGGGGTGTACTGACTTATTCTGGCCACTGTAGGTTTTGCCCAATAATGACGTTATGATCTGTTTTTATATATGAGTAAATTCCTGTATGTCTAAACTTTTAGGGCAATTAGCAAGACTGATTCTGGTTTAACAAAAGTTAAACATTTGCACACACATATTGTGTTGAATTATTGATATAGATGCCCTCTTTGTGCACAAACAGAAGGCACTGTCACCTCTTGACCTCTTTGAATAATAAATGGCGTGCCTCAGGGCTCTGTTTTAGGACCTTCAGTTTATATTAGTATTGGTCAAAACGTCTCCAATTCAAATCATGCACAGGAGATGTATATTTTGAATTTAATGCATTTATATGCAGACGATACTTTTATTTTCTGCTCTACTCCAATACAGTATCATTTACCAGACGCTTTTAAAACTGTAAGAGATGCTTTTCATGAGCGGAAACTGATCTTTAATTTTGAAAAACAAACTCACGATGTTCACTAACTCATAGAAAGAAAGAAAAACCTGAACCTGATAAATATATGACTACATCCCAAGGTGTTGTGATTGAGTTTGTATCTTCTCATGAATACCTCGAGTTTTTAATCGATAAATTCTCAGCTCTATGCTTTGTCTGATTTCCCATTAATGCCCTTTATATCACATTTGATACATACTTTTATATACTTCTGTCAAATCAATACGATAAAAAAAACACCTGAATACAGTCCAATAAATGATAAAAATGTTCTCTTTTAGTTTATTAGTTTCCAAAAACAACAAATGTATCAAACAAGATAGATAAATAAATAAATATATTTGTTAAATTTTAAGGATATTTTGATTTTTTTCTTTTTTTTTTAGTAATAAGTGGAACAAACATTTCAGCTCCAAAAAAAATTGAATTTTCTGGCCTTAATTTTTGGTTTCAGGCATTAAAAAGGCTACGATGGATGGAGCAGATGAGGAGCTTTATACTGCCAATACTGAACGCTCACCTGCTTTATGGATCGACTTTAATGGAGAACGTGACTATAAGGGAGAGAGTGACCACCACAGCGTATGAGGACCTGAGGGAGGAGAGGTCTGTGTGTTTCTGGGGGGGTAAACAGGAAACAGTCACACACAATGTCAAGGATTGGTCTCCTTGATTTTCAAGGCTGTGAGAAAAACTGGTTTGTGTTTATTTTAGCAGAAATATTTTTTGTCATGAGGCACCTGTTTCCCTCCTCCTCCTCCTCCTCCTGTCTCTGTGACATGAAAGAGACTCAGAAAGATGGACGTCTTCATGTGTTTCTCAGCCCAAATGAAGAAGTAGGTTACCACGGTTACCTAAAAGACAGTTAACAGTTTGAGTATCAAACGTGGTGTACCCCAAGGATCAGTCCTCGGGCAGATATTATTTTTGATTTACAGTTATTGATGATTTTTTTATAAGCATGTTTTATTCAATCTAAAGAAAATAAGATTTTATTTGATGGGTGTTAAAAAAATTAAACTTTTTTATAATGAAATTTAGTTTTTTTACTTTATACTTCAGTTTTTTTTTCAGGTTAGTAACATACTCAGAGAAATATGATGCTTAAAACCCATCATATATAAATATTTATACTTTAACATTTCCACGCTCACACACGTGCAAACGCACTGACAGGCTGCATTTATGAACATGCATGTGTAAAACATGAGAGTATATATGAACGCACATGTGTATTATTGTGTGTGTGTGTGTGTGTGTGTGTGTGTGTGTGTGTGTGTGTGTGTGTGTGTGTGTATCAGCTCACTCTGAGAATAGCTCCGGACAGGAAGTCTAAATCTGGACTGGACCAGGAAGAAAAGTGTGTGAGGAACAAACAAATCAGGAAATCCTCTCCCCCCTTCACTCCCCACCTCCTCCCCTTTTCTTCCAGATCATACACAGACACAAACACATGTGCTCTCATGGATGCAGTTAAGGAAAAATCGACTTACATTCACTTATTTATTGTGTCTTAATGACTGTGAATCTAAAAGTCTGTCCATTCCCGTCTTGAGAGTGGTAGATTTAGGTCTTTGGAGGCTCTCAGCATCCATCAGTGGGACGTTCTGATCAGACCATCATCTACCTTTGGTTTTCAGCACATACTCAAAGGTGGCGTCGTCTTTTGCAACTACGTTTTGCATTTCTGTTGAATGAACATTCAGGCCCTCGCAGACCCTCCATGATAACTTTTGTCTCTAAAATGATTAAATTAATAAAAGACAATTTTGTTTTTTTCTAATTTCTTGTTTTTTTCTTTAAGTCTTTTTGTTTCTTTCTGACTCTAAGAATAAATTCGAGTCTGTTATGTAAATCTGAGTTTCATACGTGAGAAAAAAACAACGATGTTTGATCAGATCAGAGTGTTGGTACATGAAAACACTCACATCCACTCAGAGAGGAGGAAGTCAGATTCGTTTTTTCCCTGAGGAAGTGTGTGTGTGTGTGTGTGTGTGTGTGTGTGTGTGTGTGTGTGTGTGTGTGTGTGTGTGTGTGTGTGTGTGTGTGTGTGTGTCACACAGGTTCTCAGGCTGGCCGGTACTTCCTCCTCCTCCTCCTCCTCTTCTTCTTTTGTCGTTTGTTCCTCCTCCAGCTGGACTCCAGACAGGAAACAGATGCTCTCTCTCTCTCTCTCTCTCTCGCCTCTCTCTCTTTCTCTGCCCTTTTCTCTTCCTCCTCCTCCTCTCCTTTTTCATCTCTTTTCCTCCCTTTCTCTCTCTTCTTCACTGATTTTTTCTCTTTTTTCAGTCTCTCTCTCTTTCACTTACCTCCACATCCCTTCATCCTTTTCCTCTCTGTTCTTTGTCCTCTCACTCTCCTCCCCACTTTTCACTCCTTTTCTTGTTTAATGAGTCTCTCCCCCTCCCTTTTTCCAACCTTTCTTCCTCCTTGATATAATTTTTAAAATGAATTTAACGTTTTTCTCCACTCTTTTCTTATTCTTTTGTCTCCTTTCCTCCCTTGTATCCTTTTATCCTTGTCTAATCCACTTTTATTTTGCTTTTTTGGTTCTGTTGAGGTGTATTAGTGTCCTATTGCACTGATTGAATAAATATAAATTCTAACATTTATAAAAATCTGCGTTGTTTTGTTTTTTTGTTTGTTTTGTTTCATGTCTTTCCTGTTTTATTTTGTAGTTCTCTATCTCTTGTTTCTGTCTTCTGGATTTGTTCCTGTCTGCTCCGACGTCTCGTCACACCTGCTGCCTGATTGTGTCTCCTCACCTGTTTCCCATCACCCTCGTTACCTCTTATATTTAACCCTGTGTGTCTCGTTTATTGTTAACCTGTGTTTTACCTTTGCCTGATCTCCATTAAACCCTGTTTCACAAACTGAATTGGTATCGTGCCGTTGTGTCCTCCTGTCTGTGTTTGGGTCACAACATTTTGCAAACCTCTGTAAACAAATCACATCCTTTAGTTCTAGAAACTGAATCTCAAAAAGTTGGAAATGAAATGCAACAGGCAAGGTTTAAAAATACAGAGATATTAAGAATGCTAATCATCCCAAAAGAAGTACAGGAGTGTAATAAACAAATGAAAAGAGGAATATTAAAGCTATACTGTGTTTATCCAAACAGATACACGTGGAAGATTGTTATAAAAGCAGTTTATAATCATTTCTCATGGTGGTATTTAAATTGACAAGCCTTCTATCATAAGAAAAAGTATATATAACATGTTTTAAAACAAATAAGTGATCTAGTTTGTAACATTTCTATGTAGATAAACTTTATTATATGTACACCTTTTAAGAGATTGGTTTAAATTTGTTTCAAACGTGTTAAAAGCACCAAAAACAGAGACATGTGAGAATGTTTTGGACATTTATCTAACACTGGTGCTTTTTCATGATATCTAAAAGCAAACAATGCCATCAGCAACGAAAGGGAAAGTTTATAAAAACCTCATTTTTATTGCTGGAAACTAACTTGAGAGGGTAGAAGTCTTTTTTTTTACAGTTTCCACATTAAATACTCAGAAATATTAATAAATTTGACTGTAAAATCTCAACATAATGAGACTTTTTTTGCTAGAGGTCACCACTCAAGGATGTACACAGTTAAGCAAAGACTGACTTGTCCACAGGGGGGCGCCACAACTGACACAAACTTAAGGTCCCTCATTTAAGCTTTACTGTAATGACCATTTAAAATGACTGAGAAAATCTATCCATCCATCCATCCATCCATCCATCCATCCATCGAGCTGCTAATTAAACATTTTGATGTGTGTGTGTGTGTGTGTGTGTGTGTTTTCTCCGTGTTTGTTCACCACAGACATCTCTTGTTTTTTGCAGTCTGTCACCATCTAGTGTTCATGATAAAACTCTCCTGAGTCACTTTCTCAGAGGCTGAAATCTTGTTTCTCTCTCTGCTTGGAAAACACAAACGACCTTTTAATGTTTAAAAAAATAACTCAAGAACACAAGAAAAATAAAGTTTGAAAAAGTGACATTATGAAATACTTAATTCATGTAAAATCATAACTTCTGTCTGCACACATCCTGGCTTTAATCTTGCAAAACAACAACATCAAAGTCAGTTTCATCTGCAGTCTGTATTTCACAGACCTGAGTCAGTTTCACACGCTCGTGGTCACAGATGTTTGACCCTCTCTCTGACGCCGCTGACATTCGCAGGTTGTGTCGACCTTCTCGTCTTCCGTTAACTTTAATCAGGTCGTGCTTTAACAGGCTGCAGAGTGCATCCAAACTAATAAAATGTGACATGAAGAAGAGGGAGAGAGTGAAGAGAAAGCAAACTCGATTTCAGCTCGACTCTAAAAAGAAAGTGAACTTCAGCGCTGTCCGCTGCCAAAAGAGGATGAGTCAGAGCTGCCAAAACGGATACACAATGAGCTGGACGGAGAAAACATCAACAATTACAAACTTCCATCATGCTCAAAGTCTTCAACTCAAATATTCTGATATCAGCAGAAGGAACAGGATTATATGTGATCTTTTTATCATCTTGCACATATCTAAGAAGTATGTTCACTAATATCTGCTCCCACTCTTTATTGGATGAAGAAATCTCGAGTTCCTGGTCTCAAGCGGCTCTAAGAGAATAAAGTTTTGTCTCCAGAAGTCTTAACTAATTATTGATAATGACTATTGATTTGTTTTTTAGCATTAGGTTAAGTACGTACAAATAGAATGATCGAGGACCCAGTAAGGAGCCATGAGGGACTCCACTGTAAAATGGGTTTCACAGTTTTCTTGTATAAAAATGGTTAAAAAGTCGGAATAATTCAGGGTTTTGTCTTTTGATTTGATCCATAAACTTAGATAAACTCTAAGACTCTCCGTGCAGCAGCCCCTCCGTCTCTCAAAGGTAAACTGAGGTCAGATAACCTGTGTTTGTTTACCGCCTGAAGTGAACACAGAGTTCAGTGGGGTCAGGTCCAGAGGGGGGGCTCTCTGGTTTTATGGTGCCGTCTAATTCTTCCAGTAAAAGTCCACGGTAACTACTACAACTCCACTCAGTCTGAATGAATCAGAGTTTCCAAGGATCCTGCTCAGATGACCCCCCCTCTTCTGCTAACACACACACACACACACACACACACACACACACACACACACACACACACACACAGAGGAGAGGAAGCAGCCTGGAGTTCACGGCTGCGGTGAATTATCATGGTTTCTCTCTGCTGGATCTTCTGCAGGGATGCTGATCTGTTTCTTTCCTCCTGAGTTTTCTTTACCTCCAAACACGTTCTTCCGGCCTTTTCCAGACTTTCTCTTATTCCTCCTTCCTTTCTCCTCAGTCATCATCACATCATGATTACCAACTCTAAGTGATCCCACATGTAAACAAATACAAACTGCTTGTTTTTCTCCCACGGAGAGAAAGTGCTTCCTGCTCTTCATCACTTGTTATTTTCTCTAAAACTGCTGAACCTTAAAGAGGTCAGACCATGTTTTCCCCTCTAGACCTGAGGTTTGGTCTGATGTTTCTTTGATCGATAACATCGGTATAGAATAATTTCACTAGATGTTTGTATCTTTTATCTGAAAATCAAATCAAGTCTCTCTTATATTTGCATCTTAATTTTTTCTCTGATAATTTAAATCTCGGTTTACTGGCTTTTTGTCTCTCTCTCTCTCTCTCTCTCTCTCTCTCTCTCTCTCTCTACCTCCCTCTCTTCTCTGGCGTCAGGGTTACCTGCTGGTCATCTCAGCGGCCTATCACAGCGCTCATACATCACGTCTTTATTAGGAGGAAGTCATTAGGTTTCTGCAGTGACCCAGCCTTGACCCCGCTGAAGCTGCATTAAAAACCCAGACCTCGGGTCAGGACAAAGGGGCGGGGCTTCGGTTTGTTCAGCCAATCACAAATGATGTGGGCAGCAGGTCTGCAAAGGGGGAAAACTTCATTTTCATGTTGTTTTTTCCTTCTATACTCCAAGATTTGTGCAGTTTATTTTTGGTTAGCCCATAGCTCTCATAGAAAACGGTGCAAAGACAACATGTCAACGACTGAAACAGATTTTTTTAGTAGGAAAATTACTGCTCATGTTAAATCTGATTCCAGCAACACATCTAAAAAGATGGAGAATATATATATATAATAATGATAATTTGTAGAAACATCATTCCAACTCTCAGGGCCAACCAGTCGAGGTCCAGATATCAGCCCTGATAACCGGAGAACTATACTGTAAAGAATGTCCATTGAGGTAACAGTAAAAAACTGTTAAATCCCAGCAGTAAATGACCGTAAATTTTAAAAATGTCATTTTTGTAAAAGTAAACTACTGTTTATTTCTCATTCAAAACAATAAAACGACTCAAATTCACCAACAAAACTCTATGTATAGGCAACACTGTGTAAAAGCGAGATAATACTGTAAAATAATTACCGACAAATGCTGCAATATGTGTGTTGATATCAGTAAAACTTACAGAAAGGTGCTTTAAGTCATATGAACCACAAAGATTAAAACAGAATAAACTGTCAAATTAACCACAATAATCCCAGTAAAATTAACGGTAATATTACTGCTCAAATGAGGTTATTTGCTGTTTAAATAGCATCAAAATTATGTTGTTATTTTCCTGGTAAAAACTTGTACACTTTTACAAAATTACAAAATACTACAAAATTAATCTTCAACTTTAACAGTAAAATTTACGGCACTGATTTACTGTAACAGCAAAAAAAAGGGTTGTTATTACCGTAAAGTTCTTGAAACCCAAATTATCCTTGATTTCACCTCCTTGTTTCGTAAATTAACTTCTTCATATTACAGTAAATTTATTTTAGAGTAACTTGAACAAACCAGCTCTGACCTTTGACCTCTGGCCTTCTTGTAGATGTTGTCGTTCCCGTCACCGCGGCGGTTCTGCTGATGATAAATCTTCTTCACTTTCAGTCGACGCTCCGATGTGGGCGGAGCTGCCCGGGGTGTCTTTTTGAGTGACGGGAGGCATAATGTGGCGCCAAGAGTCCCCTTACCCTCCAAGTCCCCTCTTCACCTCTCCTCTCAACTTCCTCTGCCCGGATCCTCTTTCTAGGGGTCAAAGGTCGTTCATTAGGATGCCCCTTCGTCTCTGATAATGCGTATAAGGAGAGTGTGTGAGGGTTAGCCAGCGAGGGACTCTGCCAGGGGTGGTGAGGGCCGCAGAGGGTTGACAGCTACCATCAGTCTCTGTGATGCAAACACACACACACACGCACGCACGCACAGACACACACACACACACACACACACACACTCTTCACCCCCGGGGGTTTGGTGTCCTGACTCTGCCCTGAAAGGGAGTTGCTCTGACCGGTCACAGTGATGACAGAAAATACAACGCTCTGCTTTTGTTCACCGATCTCAAACTCAGTCTTTGTTTGAGGACGTCCAAACCTCGGTCAGAGTCTCTAACAATGAGCTAAACTTCATGATAGAGAGATCCTAGAGGGGAAAACAGTGACATATTACTCATACAACCTCACGTAAAAATACGGATACATCCCTATAAGGGTGTTTTCTGTCATTTTCAGACAAGCCAGAGAAAAAAGATATTCCGGCGTAAAATTAATTTAGAGTCAAACACACCATAACATTGAGTTAGACCCCTCCTCCAGAGATGAATGTTGTCAACCGCTTGCTTCTCTAGTTATACCAACTTTAGTAACGACCGCAGGATAGAAATACAGAGAGCCACGCCCTCAACCAAAACGCCACTCTATAGCCACAAATAATGCTCAGAACAGCACCTAACTTCATCAACAGGACATATAGGGTCACAGACATAGTACTAGACACCAAACATCTTTTTAACTTTGACTCATTTCTTTAACAAAGAGACTAAACACAACTCACCTACTCTCTTCCAGCAGACGCTTGTTTGTAGAGAGACCTCAGGCCAGTCCATTATCGACTACAGCGGGGTGACGCAGCTCAAGGAAGAACATTTATGATCATTTCTTTATCATTTCCTTGAAGTAATAATCACCATATTAATCATTTTACAGACACGGTAGTTCCTCTGTTTTAGTGCCTCGGTCTGATTGTATTTCCATGAAGAAATGATCAAAAATGTTCTTCCTTGAGCTGCGGCACCCCGCTGTAGTCTGTAATGGACTGGCCTGAGGTCTCGCTACAAACAAGCGTCTGCTGGAAGAGAGTAGGTGAGTTGTGTTTAGTCTCTTTGCTAAAGAAATGATTCAAAGTTAAAAAGATGTTTGGTGTCTAGTACTATGTCTGTGACCCTATATGTCCTGTTGATGAAGTTAGGTGCTGTTCTGAGCATTATTTGTGGCTATAGAGTGGCGTTTTGGTTGAGCGCGTGGCTCTCTGTATTTCTATCCTGTGGTCGTTACTAAAGTCGGTATAACTAGAGAAGTAAGACGAAGCAACATTCATCTCTGGAGGGGGTGACTAACTCGGTGGTACGGTGTGTTTGACCCTAAATTAATTTTACGCTGGAATATCCCTTTAATCTCAGTATTAAGACATCAAACCACAAAACCACAAAGGAAAAAAAACCCTCCATGAGGACTTTAAGGTGTTCACCCTTTCTAAAGTACAGCAGGTAAAATGAAAGTATTTAGGTGACGGCATGTTTACACACTCTGTGGAGCTGTGAGGAAACTTCCTGAGTGTTTCTTAAAATCCTCCTCTGACTATTTAACGAGCTTCTCATCCGACGTTTACACACACTCACACATTCATCACTCCATCAGCGCGGCAGGACGGCCTGTACAGGTCGCGTGTTTGGTTGAGTAATCTGAAGTGACATCCTACATCCGACAGTTTAAGTATAGCCTTTCTCCGCCTCTGTGTCTTCTTCTTCTTCTCTTCTTCTTCTTCTGTGGTTGCACCGGGCTGCGTGCATTGTCTGCGCTCAGTGTGACACTTTGATGAGCCATTAGTCGACATAATTTATCTGTGTGTTCACTCTGCCTGCAGACTCTCTGTCTGCTGCGGGACGGCGTGCCTTTGTCCTGACTGCTGCAGGCAGCAGGGCCGGGCCTTCACACACACACACACACACAAACACACACACAAACACACACAGAGTCATACAGCAGTGACGTAAAAACATACATTACTGTGTTTAGTAAGAATGACACGGCGGTGTGTTACAGAGGATTAGAAGTTCAGGGATTGTGTAAAGAAATCAGATCAGTC